TGAAGGGTTGGTGAACTGGTGTAAGGAAAACAGCCTAGTTTTAAATACTGGAAAAACCAAAGAGATCATTGTTGATTTCAGAAAAGGCAGGCACAGCCACACTTCTCTGTGCATTAATGATTCACCTGTGGAGATGGTTACCAGCATCAAATTCTTGGGTGTGCAGCTAATGAGTAGGCTGACTTGGTCGCTCAACAGTGAGAAACTGGTGAAGCGGGCACAGCAGTGCCTGAATTTTCTGCGTTGCATGAGAAAAGCACATCTTCCTTCCCCTGTCCTGACCACTTTCTACAGGGGGACAATCAAGAGCATCCTGTCATACAGCATCACAGTCTGGATTGGAGGCATCACTGTTTCAGACAGGAAGGCGGTGCAGAGAATGGTGAGAATGGCCGAAAAGATCATTGGTAGTTCCCTCCCTCCCATCCAGGACATAGCACAGAAGAGTTGTTTGAGCAGGGTCCGTAAGATTATCTGGGACACTACACATCCTCTTCACGACCTGTTTTCCTTGTTACCTTCTGGGAGGAGGCTTTGTGGTATCCATAGCAGAACATCCAGATTCAGCCATAGTTTCATTCCATACAGCATTAACCTTGTGAACTCTCAAGCTTCCTCCTTCCATTATATATTCAAGATGGGCGGTATTTAATATTTATTTGCTACGTATATGTAGGGATGTGGGTCTGTACATATGTTGTTCATAGTATGTTTAGGTGTGTGTCATGTATGTGTTTCACTTTGAGAGCGGGCAACTAAATTTCATTTTTGATGGGTGCCGTTGTGCCCACAGTAAAAAAATGACAATAAAGGTTATCTTATCTATCTTATCTTATCCCTCCATTCTCAGGGCTATCCCTGCCAATAAGCGATTCCTGACATTGCTGAGAGAGAGAAGAGAGAATTTACTCCAGGCCTTATAAACTATCCAGATGTTTTTGAATTGTCCAGATGTTCCAATCTCCTTTTATGTAAATAGATTTTTTTATAACTATGGGGAGTATTCAAGTTACTATTAAGTAATTGTAATATGCTGTTGCTTGTTCATTGTTTTTATAAATTATTTTTTATTATCTTGCTTAGTGATTCAAAGCAAAATTGAACAGCCCTCCCTCAACAGAGGGGAAGGATACAGTATCACCTATCTCCTGTTTACAACTCAGTCCCAAGAAGGATTGCATTCTCATTCAGGTGACTCTGACAATATAGATTAACTCCCAAGTGGCTTCAACCACTCTCAGAGTGCTAAAGATAGGCTGACTGCAAACAATATAAATCCTTCCATTCCCCACCAGTTAGTTAGAACTCTAAGAAGCTTCTTGGATGAAAAGCAAAATGTTTTCAAAGAAAAAAAACCAAGAAAGTCCAGTTGCCTTTTGAAAAACGTTTCTTTGGGACAACCATGACATGTTGATCGAGACTCTCCACAGACATTTATTCTAATCTGACTTTATCAAGTTTCATAGTTTCATACAAATAAGCCACTGCTAAAAAAAAAAATTGGCATTTGATGCTATCTGCACTATCATAGCTTGTAGTAGTTCCAAGCAAACTTTTCACTGTTTTTTACCACACAGTCTACAATCCAGGCTCTGTGGTGACTCATCCCTACATTTCTACCTATCTTTCTCCACCCACAGTCTTTCTCTCATGTCTGGATTAAGTCAAAGAATTTAAGAACTGAAATAATTCTTTGTTGATATTAAACGGACACTATAAGAATCTCCTTTTTAGCTCTCCTCTTTTTTTGTCATGTTTATTTTAATCATGTAGTTTCTTCTCTCACTTTTTTAACCACTACTGTATTTTTCAAGATTTCTACAGCCTCCTGGGACTAGCTGAAGGAAATGAGAAGCAGAGCTGCTTGTTATCCACATAAGCCCAAACCCCTGGATGACCTCTCTGAGTGGTTTCATGAGAAGCCCGTAAAGCCTTGAGAAACCCCTGCATAGCTTTTTCAATATATTATTTATTTTTTATTTACACACACACACACACACACCCTTCCAAGATTGTTGGGGGCAATATGCTGACTCTGTAAACTGCTTAGAGAGGACTGTAAAGCACTGTGAATCAGTATATAAGTCTAGGTGCTATTGCTACACACACACACACACACACACACACAGTTTGTGTGTGTGTATTTTGTGTGTGTAGATACACACACACATGAATATATATATTCTTTCAAAGGTCTATA